TTTACCAAAGTCTTCGCTTAAAGTCGCTTCGTTCAACATCGTTTTGTTATAACGTTTATTAGAAAAAAAATAGATTCCTGGCCGGGGTCACTGTGTGGAGTTTGCACGTTCACTGTTGACCTGCATGGTGGCTGCAGGTGTTCCTTACAATTTTCGCTTTGCAAACATTTATTCCTTGATTTAACTCTGTTGCTATGAGTGCTAAGGCGCACTGTGCACCCCTGATGTTTATATCAATTAGCCTATGGTAAAAAATTGGTTTCGTTACACATCGTTTCGCTTAAAGTCGCAGTTTCCATGAATCTATCGACGACGTTAAGCGAGGACTTACTGTACTATAGCATCCTAGTGACTACATATACCCGCCAGGGATTCGTACATCCCCTGGTGGGCTACAACTGGTTTACACAGAACAAAACGTTATCACAATACAAGCGTTGTTCTGCAACTTGTCTCTCTCAACAATTGTCATCTTACTGTGAGAACTAAATTGTTGATTGTCATCTTTTATGCATTATTGCAACTGTAATGTTTTCCTTTAAACAATCCCGTGTTTGTAAATGGCAATGTCGGTGTTGCAACGTGCGAGCGTGTACACTCACCTATCTGTACTCACCTATTTGTAGTTGCAAGGGTCGATTCACAGCTCTTTGTGATCGCTGTCAAAATGAATAATTTACTACTTGTTTTAATGATGGTGAAAGGCTCTTGATCCAAGGAACTGATACAAGGAATTAGCCCTCTTCCCCAAGATGAGTTCCACAAGTCACCTAATGGGTACCTATTTACTGCTAGGTGAACAAAGCGGTACGCCCAGCTACGCCCGTAACTGAACCTGTGCACTTTACTTGCAAGTCGAATGCGTTACCATTGAGCTACGAGTATAGTAGTCTATAATCTAAATATTTGTTTTCCTTTAAAAAGATTTATATCTTGAAGATAGTCATCAATGTTTATAGATTGTATTATCTCAAAAATGTTAAGTAACCTCTCATTCTGGGAGAGTGCTCATTGACAACTATACTCAAGCTGCCTATATATAAATTGATTTAATTAAATCACTTATCACTAATCTAATACCGCTTATTAAAGGAGCAACTAGCACAAAAGAAAACAAAATATATTGTGGCTAACAAAAAAAAAAAAAAAACTGGATGTGAACATAATTATAGTTAACCCAAAAACACCTACTATGAATACACGTTTTCTATTAGTCGCAGCAGAAAATGGGAAGTTCCACTGTGACTCAAAAGTATCTTAAGATAATACACAAATAACCCGCACATAGAAGCTTATGACGACGTTTCGGTCCGGCTTGACCCATTTACAAAGTCACACTAACAGAAAGGAGAGAAGGAGGGAGTATATATAGGCCAGAAGACAGGAACGGGACAAGAGTGGTAGTAGAGGAAGATGGTAAGTAGTAGGGAGCTAGGGGCACACAAGGAAGCTAGGGGCCCACAAGGGAGCTAGGGGCACACAAAGGAGCTAGGGGCCCACAAAGGGTAAGAACAAGAACACAGAGGGGGGAAAAATAATAATAAAGGGCCAAATACCAATGTAAGAAGAAAGAAAACACGAAACATCGTCGTGAGCCCCTCCCTGTGTGCGGGTTATTTGTGTATTGTTCCAGTCACGGTATTGTGTCTTTTTATCTAAAGATAACATTTTTAATGACTGCTCGTATCGTATGCCTGTTGTAGATTCTGGAGGTCATCGCAGCGTAACCCAGCCCCAGACAATGCTGCCTAGTTGATGGCACGTTCAGCCAAATTGTTTGTGATAGCAGTATTAGAAATATCAGAACCGGAAGAGAGAGAAATCGATTGATGCCCAGCATAAAGCCGTAAAGCATTTAAACTACTGGGAATGTCTCAAAGTACTTGTGATGTGCTCTGGAACGAAGAAGAAATAACTGATAATACTCTTATGTACATGGACAATACTGGAGGATCTGGTCCCAAATCCACTCACTACCATAACAGTGTGCTGGAGTGAAATATGTGAAGTGCAAAAATAAACCCAGTGAAAAGAAGGAAGACCATCGGGACAATAAGAGAACTGTCAGTACCCTTGGCCCAAAACTGTTCAATCTGCCAACAGAATTCGGAAATACTTCCGAAACGAGTGTCAATGTCAAGACGAAATACCCCTCCCTAGTGCCAGATCAACCAGATTGTAATCGCTGCTATGTGGGCCAGCAAGCTGCCAATAGGTTGGTTGAACAAGAAATTAACATAAAAGACTGGTCCCAGACAGGGCTGCAAGGGAAATAAAAACTCTAGAAACCGGTAAGCCATCCAACGTCGGAAGACATTAATAATGATGCTCTTTGATCTATGATGGATTTCGAGTGTTCTTCGTACAGCCCGCTCTGGGTCTGGTTGATCCGGCACTTGGCAGAGGTACTTGTCGAGTGTCCTCTTGAGGACTTCTATGCTTGTCCCGGCAGTATTTCTTATAACTTAAGATGTTGAGCAGTCTAGGCCTAAGATGTTGATACAATGTTCTCTTATTGTGCTCGTGGCGCCCCTGTTGTTGAGTGGGTTCTACCTTTTCTCCCATATCTCTCACTCCAGTATGTTATGGTGGTGTGTAGATTTGGAACCGTGCCTTTAAGTACCGGTCACGTACCTGAGGCGTTCTCTGTAATTAATATGCCTTGATTCTTTGCAGGCTTATGTATATATCTGTTCTAACGCTGAGGTTTCTCTTGCCCTGAAAGGAACTGACAACACTGAGCGGTACTCTAAGCGACTTCATGACATCAACACATACCGTTCAAAGTAATATCTCAGAACAAAAAAAAAAAAAAAACGATCATTTAAGTTTAGGGTTACTGAAAAATAAAATTATGAGTAAATCTTTGCAAAAAATTCATTTAATGAAGCTTTAAAAGTATATTAATATCAAGTCTGATGATGGTGGAAGTAAGGTTCGTTAAAATAAAAGAAATGTCAGTTTTGCTTCAATCACACTTCGGAGTTGACCCAGCATGCACTATAGACCTCCCAGTTGACCCAGCATGCACTATAGACCTCTCAGTTGACCCAGCATGCACTATAGACCTCCAAGTTGACCCAGCATGCACTATAGACCTCTCAGTTGACCCAGCATGCACTATAGACCTCTCAGTTGACCCAGCATGCACTATAGACCTCTCAGTTGACCCAGCATGCACTATAGACCTCCCAGTTGACCCAGCATGCACTATAGACCTCTCAGTTGACCCAGCATGCACTATAGACCTCTCAGTTGACCCAGCATGCACTATAGACCTCTCAGTTGACCCAGCATGCACTATAGACCTCTCAGTTGACCCAGCATGCACTATAGACCTCTCAGTTGACCCAGCATGCACTATAGACCTCTCAGTTGACCCAGCATGCACTATAGACCTTTCAGTTGACCCAGCATGCACTATAGACCTCTCAGTTGACCCAGCATGCACTATAGACCTCTCAGTTGACCCAGCATGCACTATAGACCTCTCAGTTAACCCAGCATGCACTATAGACCTCTCAGTTGACCCAGCATGCACTATAGACCTCTCAGTTGACCCAGCATGCACTATAGACCTCTCAGTTGACCCAGCATGCACGACAGACCTCTCAGTTGACCCAGCATGCACTATAGACCTCTCAGTTGACCCGGAATGCATATAGACCTCTCAGTTGACCCAGCATGCACTATAGACCTCTTAGTTGAGCCAGCATGCACTATAGACCTCTCAGTTGAGCCAGCATGCACTATAGACCTCTCAGTTGAGCCAGCATGCACTATATAAATACTTGCTATCACATAAAAAGTCAGATACACTAACAATATTGCAGACATGTACATGCACAAGATGCATCATTACTCAGATAAGCAGCCATTATGAAAAAAATATATTTTTATACAATTATATATTCTGAAATATAAAAAAATCACTCTTGCAAATAAATCTAATACAACAAAAAAAAAAACTGAAACTTTCAACAGGGTTGTAATACTACAGAGATAAATGAGAATAATATTAACACGTCAGTTAACAGGTTTGTATATATTACACGAGTCTAGGGAGCTGTAATTAATATTGCAACCTTGTTTCCACAGATGTAAAATGTTGTGTCTTGGCATTCTTTACTTATAATTATTGGCAGCATCATTCCAACACCTACCTGCCTGCCTCTCTAATTTCTTGACACTCATGTAATGTAAAATATTTGTGACTGCCCTCGTGTTTATGAAATGAGAAACCCATTTAATACTTGACTGGAAGAAGATTTAAGTAAAATTCAAGGGGGTAAGCACTAAACCAGTAAGGATAATTTGGTTTGTTAGGGTCAAAATATAGTGGTTACAGCAAAAGTATAAAATAAATATCCCACTGCTGCCACCAGATTAGATGAGCAATATCTGGTGGATATAAAAACAAAAAAATATATATTTTTCAAAGCTGCCTCCAGTTTAGCGATGAAAAGTTTGAGACAAATATAAAAATAAAAACATCCCTGGAAGCTGCCACCCATATTTTGATATTTTTCTATTCCTCCTCTCAGAATGCAACGCATTTTGAAAGAGAAAACGGGTATGTAGTTTAATGCTTGAAGAAGCTGAGCAGTGAGTGCCCATACATTACGTCCAGCCTGGAACTCAAACTTGGTTCCTTTCAGTTTTTGAGTAAAATGTTCTCCCAGTGAACTGCAGGCCTTCATAACAGAATTATGTCACCCTCAGGCGAGAAAATGAAAGCAGGTAGCTGTGTTGAGTATGTGGGTGGTGACTTTGATAATGCTAGCCAGGTATGGTGGTGGCGACCCTGATGATGCTAGCCAGGTATGGTGGTGGTGGCTGGTCTGAAAAATATACTACGGCAGGGTTGGAAGGTATGGTAGTGATGGTACTTAGAGGTGGTAGTATCAGGGAAGAAGGGTATGGTGGTGGTGATGGTAACTAGTGTGTTTGTAGCATCAGGGAAGAGGATGTATGGTGAAGGGGATGGTAGTGGATGGTACCTTGAGTGTTGTTGGTAGCATCAGGGGAGGAAGGTATGGTGGTGGTGATGGTGTCTAGGGGCAGCAGGCCAGCCTCCGCCAGCAGGAAGAGCTCACTCGGGTACTCATATGTCGTCGTCAACGTGTCGTCGAACGATATACACAGCTGTTAAGGATACAAAGAAAGTTAAAATATATGCACACAACAGGAAAACTAAATTATAAATAGTTTATTAATGTTGAATTTACAGATTTATTTTTAGAGGCTTATCTTTTAAATGTGAACAATGGTTGCATTAAGCCCGTGAATTGTACAGGCATATTCTGAGACATGAAAAAACTCATCTTTTAGTTTTTAAACTGGAGAGAACGGAAGTTCTGGCATATCAGTGGGCACTAGTAAATCACGGGAATATACATAAATAACCCGCACATAGTAGAGAGGAGCTTACGACGACGTTTCGGTCCGACTCGGACCATTTACAAAGCCTCGTGTGATTTCGTAAATGGCTCAAAATCGGACCGAAACGTCGTGGTAAGCTCCTCTCTCCTATGTGCGGATTATTTGTGTATTCTTCCCATCACAGTATTGTGCCTTTTTGTTCTTCACAGGAATATATATATAATCATAGGTAAGCCACCGGTTGCTAACCAAGCGTACATATAGCTTCTGTAAATCTGTGGATTTAAACAAGGATAAAGCAAATGAGTAAGATACAAGTGCAACGGTTGGGTATCTTCACTGTTGAAGCGGTAGGCTTCAACAGTGGTCATAACTATGACCTTAACTTTTAAAGGGGTGGACTGGTAAGCCAGCGGAAGGCCTCGGTCAGATGACCAGAAGCTCCAACGGCGGGTCATCTAAGACCCTCGTTAAGAAACACTTGTCCTGTTTCCTGACGAAACTTACCTAACCTAAGAGGAGAATAAATTGTAGAAAGCAGTATTGGCGAGGTAATGATGTGGTCAATCCATCAACCTTGAACACGCAGGATAATTTAACATATCCAAATACAGTAATATGACTTATACAGTATCAGAAAGAGACAATTAGTACAACCAATATCTTTTAGCCAACCTCATCATCTCCAAGATGTGACAATAAGTTTATTTAGGCACAAATAGAGAAGAGAGAGAGAGAGAGAGAGAGAGAGAGAGAGAGAGAGAGAGAGAGAGAGAGAGAGAGAGAGAGAGAGAGAGAGAGAGAGAGAGAGAGAGAGAGAGAGAGAGAGAGATGCCTCAATCAAAATAAGGCACACTGTTTAAATCTCCGGGGTTAACTTAAAGCTACTATAAATATTAAATGCTTATTACAACCACTGTAGTGCACCTAATTAAGATTATCTTATCACTATAAGCTGAGAGAAGCATTAAACGAGTTACCCCTAACATTATAAGCTGAAACATTGAGTTACCCCTAACAAAGAATATTTTAGAAAATAACAGAAAACGAATGAGAAAAACGCCATACAAGGGACGACTAGCCTCGTAAAACTAATTATATTATACGTGTAATCTTCAAAAAATAAAGTTAAAAATAATGGTTTAAAAAATAACTCGTTAGGCTAACATAGGCAGGTTAAAGTAATAATAACGAGATAAACTCCTTGTTTAGTGGATAATATTAATATATAATTTAATTTTTTTGGACATTAATATATAACAGGGCAAAGAGGATAAAACCACAAGATAAAATAGCAGTAATCTTTAAGAAACAACAGATATCTGCTAAGCCAGTGGAAGGTGTCGGTCAGATGACCAAAAGCTTCACTGACGGGTCATCAAATGACTAAGACACTTGTCCTGTTTCCTGCCGAATCTTACCTAACCTAACCTAGAAAAACCACATGGTATACAAACCGCGAAATAGATGCCTATCAGTGTATATACACTGATAGTTTACTTTGATCCCTGTTTTAGAGATTAAGGTATTCTTGGCTGGTGGTGAGCAAGTGACATACAACCTGAGACTCGTGTAGTCGATAGGCTTTCAACCTCCACTAAAGGTTGTAGGCAGACCGGTCACAAGCAGAGACTACACGCAGAAACAAATTTATTATTATTTGTAGATTTATCTGCAGATCAGTATCTGCACGAACTGACTAATTTGTTTCTAACTTACAATGTTTAAATAGAAGCACTCCCGGAGGTCATTACCCCCACGGCCCGGTCTCAGACCAGCCTTAATACACATGACAGGTTTCGAGGGCTCTTTATCTCAGAAACCCGGCCTGAGGCCATGTTTTTCACTGTTGGTCGCCTGGTAAACCAGACTGTGCTAGCGTCCAACAAGCCGACACAGCCATCACAATCCGGCTGAGCTGACAGAGAAGAAATTTTGTAAAAAGGAAGACCAGGTGGAGAGTGTCAGGGTCGGTGACAACTTGGAATATATTTTTGTTTACATTACTGGCTATAAATAAGCGCAGTGTGTTGCTACCCTAGTACATAATAAAAGTAACAGTGTAGGTAGACTTACTTTTATTTAACAAAACTGGGTTCACCGCTAGTGTGCGGCTACCATATTCTACGTACTAGTGAGTTTTGTATCATATTGTATCAGAAAGTATAGTTATGTTCATCAGGTGAACTGCGTCAGCCTGAGCTGGGGACTTCAGTAAGGTGATGAGGACATCGTAAAGTACTCCAATATGGGTTCAGTAGCTACGGTAGCTTCAAAGGTTTCCCTCCAGCACAGCTGGAGTTAGTGTTACCTGGGAAAGTGGAAAGTCTAAGTGAAGGTGGAGAGACAAAAGAGAGGTGGAGAGACGAAAGAGAGGTGGAGAGACGAAAGAGAGGTGGAAAGACAAAAGAGGTGGAGAGAGGCAGGGTAGGTGACGGACATACACAGGTACACGAGTGATGACTACAGTATTTAGAGAAAGTGAATGGAGTCAGCGTCCTTGTAAGGCTGCGAGAGAGAGAAAGTATGGGATTTGTGGTGCCCATCGTCTACATATTCGAAATATTTTATCATTTATTATAGATTAAAAAAAAATCCTACCTTTAATTTAAATTATGTCTGAAATTTCGCGTTGTTGAATAAATGGTAAATAAAGTTCAGCCTCTACTATGACACAGTATAAGTTTCTACATAAGAGCAAGTAAGCATATCACCTGACATGACTGTTCTTATATACAAGGCAATTTACATTTTCCTAGTAGTGTTTTATTTATCAATCATTTCTGCTGAGAGACTAGAAATGTATCTGCGTTATATTTAACGAAAAACGAGGAAATTATGGAGACAAATTATTCACATATAATATTAATTTTTTTTCCTGTTAACATTAGATATATGGTAAATATTATTCCATAATGTTATTAAAAGGTTGAATAAAAGGTCAAAATACCGTGGCTGGAACAATTCACAAACCCACACTTAGATGCTGTAGACGTTTCGGTCCTTTCTAGATCATTATCAGTTGTAACTTGATAATGGTCGTCTAGAGCTTCATATTCTAGTGTGGATTATTTATGAGTTAAAAGGTTGAGCTGAAAGTGATTGATTCTGGTACATTAAGTGTACCCAGGCCATGCCACCTGTAGGCTAACCAAAGCAAATAGAGAAAAAAATTGTGTCCCATCCATCAAAATACAGTTGTAACGTGAAAATGAATCAGTCAGTCAATGGGAGCTACTGTACCCACAGTGACATACTAGTCAATATTCGCCTTACTGAACCAACAATGACATACTGGTCAATATTCTCATCGCCCACAGTGGTATACTGGTCAATATTATCATCAACTTACTGAATTGTCCCATTTCAGGCTGACATGTTATCATTACCTAGTGCATGAAACCCATCCTGTATTAAGGAATATGACAGAGCAACGTAGCTAGTATTGGTAGCAACAGAGAAACTTTCATTGAATGAGGCAGTAACACACTGAAGGAGTTCCCAGATCGTTAGATTAAAACAAAATGCATACGACGTGAGTAAAGACTGAGGGAGGGTGACAAGGGTGAGTGGTGGTGAGTGTGAGGAGGTCTACCAGTGTTTACATGGGAGGAAGCTGGAGACAGTGTGGCGGCTGACTCAGAAGTGCTGCTGGCTGACTCATGCCTCAAACCTTGTAAAGCTAGCTAGCTCTCTATCTCCCCTCAGAGGAATCCAATACACAGCTTCAAGATTAAGCATGACAGGATCAAAGAGGCTCAAAAACTTGTTAATGGCGGCCAGTGGGTAAACACAGGCTGCGTAAGAATGAGGGAAGGTTATGAGGAGATATAGTAATCCATCCTTATATTGCTACGTTAATATTCTTACGGGAGTACATGAAGACGATTTCGTGGGTCACTGCCCCCGCGGCCCCGTCCCAGACCAGACCTGGTAAACGGCCGGATTAATCAGCACGAAGTCCAACAATGTCATACGCCACAGCCTGGCTGATCAGGAAACATGCTTCAGCAAAATTGCGTATTTCAGTTTTACTCAGTTACAACGAGACTCGCATAATTTAAGAAAATAATGAACAAACTGTATTAACTTAGAGGTACCTGAGTGTTAGCCGACTGGTGTTGGTCGCATCCTGGGGAGAAAAATCAACCTAAGTTGCGGGAAATGCTCAGCATGACAAGGGGGCTTTCTATTGATGTCAGCTATGTTCTGTATAAGTTGTATCATGTACTCGAAGAAATAAATATTATTATTATTATTATTATTATTATTATTATTATTATTATTATTATTATTATTATTATTATATTGATAAAAATCACTAACAGACGTTTCCAGGAAGACTGGAAGACTAACTGGGGAACTACAAAACAGTGAAGGCATAAACGGCAATTTTTTTTACAAAGTTAAGATTTTCTGTTTGAAGGAAATATTCGAATAGTAAAGAGAAAAATGTGTAGCAAAGATCAGTATAAAAGTGACTTAACCCTTGCAAGAAGACTTGTAAATGTTGAGGAAACAGAGTGACTGATTACGGTGACTGGATCAACAAGACGTAGTATGAAGATTAAGACATGTGTGCAACAGTTGGGTATCTTTATTGATGACACTTTTCACCTACACAGTAGACTTCTTCTGTCAAATACAAATGGAGTAGCAGTAATGAAATCAAGATGATGTAATCAATCAAGCTTGAAAAAGTATTTTGAGGTGGTCAGTCCCTCAGCCTCCAGACTGAGGGACTAACCACCTCAAATACCTTG